CTCCTCCCACCCCATGTTGCAACCGGTGTTCGGAATCTGCAGGATTGCCACGATGATATTCGGCATATCCTTGATGCCCAAGGCCATTCTGTCCTCCAGGTTGACTCGTTTACTCGTCCCCCTCGTGGTCGTCGCCGTCAACCCCTTCGCGTTGTGAAGATCACCTTTGATGGTAGGACCCTTCCATCCTCTGTCATTCTTGCTGGTGCTAGGTGCTCTGTCCAGGAGTATATTCCTTCTCCTCGACTTTGTAACAAGTGCTGGAGGTTTGGGCATGGTGCCCTCCGCTGCTCTGGGACTGTCTCTCTCTGTCCTTTGTGTGGGAGTGAAGGTCACTCTAAGTCGGAGTGCACTTCTACCCAGGCTCGTTGCCTCAACTGCGGTGAGGCCCATCCTACCTTCTCCCGTGCGTGTGTCCATTACAAGCTTGAGGCAGCCGTCCTCAACTTGAAGCACCGGGAGCGTTTATCTTTTCCTGAGGCGAGACGCCAGGTTCGCCGGCTCCCGCCTTTTGCTAATATCTCTTATGCTCGCGTGTTGCGCTCTTCCTCTCCTCGTCCTTCCCGCCTTCCTCAGACTCACAACCGTTTCCGGGCCTTGGACCCTGATGCGCCCACTGCCCCCTCCTTTGTTCCTTTGGGTTCTCTCCCGAAGGATCCTCCTCCTGGTCCTCTGTCTGGGGTTCCCCTTCCTTCTACCCGGTCTGTCGTGTCTCCTGTGTCTTCTTCCTCGCCCCCCTCCGATCCTCCTTCCCATCCTCTTCCTCCATCTCTCGGCTCTCCCCACTGCCTGTCGGTGCAGGCGGATGTCCATCGCTCTCCTAACGGCCGTCGTGTGTGCTCTCGTTCGGCTTCTCCTGTTGAGACACTGGAATCCGTTGCCCGGTACGTAGTTGCTGGGACACCGGTCTCTTTAAGTCAGAAGCGAAAGCCTGGCTCCTCTCCTTCCTCTTCCCCGGCGGGTAAGAAGGCTTCGCTTTCTTCCTCAGCTCCTACTTCTGGCTCTGTTGCTCCTTCCCCTCCCGTTTCAGTGATTGCGCCCCCTGTTCCTGCTATGGAGGTTTCTTTGGCCCCTGCTTCCCTTTCGGTTGCTGCTCTTGCTGAGGTGCGCTCCCCTCTTTCTACTCCCCCTCTTCCTGCTGCTGTCCTTGACTGCTCCTCTCCGTTGTCTCCTCCTCTTCCTCCTCCTCCTCCTCCTCCTCCGGACCCCACCCGCCCACCTCTGATCTGTTCTCCCGTTTCCTTCCCTCCGTCTTTGCTCAATTTACCCATGCCCCCTAACCCTGACTTTGCTGACCCTGATCCCGACCCTGATATTCTTTAACATGCTCTGTTGCTCTTTCGCCTTTGTTTCTTCCTTGTTCTCTGTTTTTGTCCTTTCTCTTCTCGTCGTTGTCCATTCTTCAATGGAACGTTCGAGGTTATTACGCCAATTTCCTCGAACTCCAACTTCTGATTTCGCGGTTTTCGCCTCTTTCTGTCTGTCTCCAGGAGCCAATGCTTGGTGCTCGTTCTGGTCGTTTTCGTGGCTATTCCTTTCTCTCCCCCCCCCCAGCCGTTGCTGGGGCTTCTAATTCTTCTGCTCTCTTGATTCGTGCTGATGTTCCCTTTGTTCCTTTGCTTTTTCCTTCGCCTCTCCATTGTTCTGCTGCTCGTATCTTTGTGGGGAAATGGTACACAGTTTGTTCCATTTATCTCCCCCCGAGTGTCCCGCTCTCTCTTCCTGATTTGAAACACCTCCTAGACTCCTTGCCGGAGCCTGTGCTCCTGCTGGGTGACTTCAATTGTCGTCATTCTCTTTGGGGTGACGTTCTGACGAATACCCGGGGTCGCCTCCTTGAGCCGTTTCTCCTCTCTTCTTCCCTGTCTCTTCTGAATTCTGGTGAGCCCACTCATTTGGACTCTCGGACTCGCACCCTTTCTTGTCTTGATCTTTCTCTCTGCTCTTCTTCTCTTTACTTAGATTTCACGTGGCAGGTTATTGATGACCTCCATGGAAGTGATCATTTCCCCATCCTTGTTTCCTTTTTCTCTTTTCGCCCTTCCCTCTCTTTCCCTAGGTGACAGTTTGCTAAGGCAGACTGGACCCTATTTACCCTCAGTGCTGCTCTCTCTGACCTCTCCCTTCTGCCTCTCTCTCGTGCTCTCCTCCTTTTTCATGACACTGTCTTCAACGCTGCCCTCCGCTCTATTCCTCGCTCTTCCTCTCGGGGTCCACGGAAGTGCGTTCCCTGGTGGAATGTGGACTGTGCTCGGGCTGTCCGCTGTAAGCGTGCAGCCTGGAAGAGGCAACGCCGTAGGCAGACGACCGATTCTTTTCTTTTCTTTCGGAAAGCGAGTGCGGTGGCCCGTAGGGCCATCCGTACGGCTAAACGTGAATGTTGGGCATCTTATGTCTCAACAATTACGTCCGAAACCCCTGTGGCCCATATCTGGAAGCGTATCCGCAAGATAGCGGGTAAGTTCGTTCCCGATGTTTCACCGGTCCTTCACCTCCATGATACTCTTGTGGCGGACCCGTTGCAGGTCGCTTCCGAACTGGGTTCCCACTTTTCTTCTGTTAGCTCTGGTCTTCATCTTCCCCAATCTTTCCTTCTTCGTAAACCTGTCCTTGAGTCTCGTCCTTTAGATTTCTGCACTCATCTTCAGCTTCCCTATAATGATCCCTTCTCTCTCTCTGAACTTCGTTCTGCCCTGGCCCTCTGCGGTTCTACGGCGGCGGGCTCCGATGGTATTCATTATGAGATGCTTCGCCATCTCCCTCCGAGCACGTCTCAGTATTTACTGAGTCTGTATAATCGGATCTGGGAGTCGAACGTATGGTTAACGTTCGTCTGATGTGGTTCCTGGAACACCATCACCTCCTCTCCCCTTCTCAATTTGGTTTCCGCAAGTGCCGCAGCACGACAGATGTCCTGGTGAACTTGGTCTATATTCGTACTGCTTTTGCTGCGAAGACCTCCGTTGTTGCCGTCCTTTTTGACCTGGAAAAGGCTTACGACACCACTTGGCGTTATCATATCCTATCTCGACTCCATTCTTTTGGCCTTCGTGGTCATCTCCCTCTCTTTCTCCGCAGCTTCCTCTCTCGTCGTTCCTTTCGGGTGCGCCTTGATACCGCTCTCTCTCCCTCTTTTCAGCAATACGAAGGTGTGCCCCAGGGTAGTGTTCTGAGCACTACTCTTTTTCTGGTTGCCCTCAATGGTCTTCTTTCCTCTCTTCCTTCTGGTGTCTTCTCCGCTCTCTATGTCGATGATCTTACCCTTTGTCGTCAGGGTGATGATTCGCCTCTCCTTCAACGCCGGCTTCAACTTGCAATTGATGCCGTGTAGTCTTGGGCCACTGATCATGGCTTCAAGTTCTCTACTTCAAAGACTTGTGCCCTGACATTTACGCGGAAACGGGTTGTTCTTCGTCCCTCTTTGTCACTTTATGGTCATCCCCTTGAATACAAAGATTCCGCGAAGCTTTTGGGGTTATTCCTTGACACTCGTTTGTCTTGGTCTCCCCATATCTCTTACCTCCGTGTTGAGTGCTCTAAGGCCCTTACCCTCCTTCGGGTCTTGTCCCATACTTCTTGGGGGGCAGATAGGCGCACTCTCCTTGCTTTACATTCCTCTCTCGTCCTGTCTAAGCTCGATTATGGTTGCCCTGCTTACTCGTCTGCTTCTCCTTCTACTCTTCGCCGTCTTGATGCTTTGCACCATACTGGATTGCGCCTCAGTTCAGGTGCCTTTCGTTCGACTCCCGTCCTTAGCTTGTATGTTGACACTGGCTTCCTGTCTCTCCGGGACCGCCGTGATCGCTACTGTCTTCGCTATGTTGTGCGGTCCTTGCAATATCCTTCCTCTCGCCTCTGTCGTGCTTTAACTTTTACCCCTCCTGCGGTTCCTGTGCCTCTTCACCACCTCCCTCTTTCTGTCCGGTTATCTCGCCTGCAGGATTCTCTTTCCGTTCGTATTTCTGATGTTTCTCCTCGTGTTGTTCCTTCTTTGCCCCCGTGGAGGGTCCCTCTTCCGCGGTTTTGTACATCCTTGACCCGTATCACTAAAGCTTTTACCCCTCCTACGGTTCTCAAACGCCTTTTCCTCGAGCACTTTTCTTCTCACTCCCGCTCCGTTTCTGTCTTCACCGATGGGTCTAAGTCAGCGGACGGTGTTGGCTACTCTGTTGTTTTTCCTGATCGCACTTATATGTGTCGCTTGCCTCCGGAGACTAGCATCTTTACAGTGGAACTTTATGCTATTCTCTATGCTCTTCGTCTCCTGCTTTCTCGTTGTCAGTCTTCCTTTGTAGTCGTTGTTGACTCTCGTAGTGCCCTCATGGCTCTCGGGTCCTTTAATCCGGTTCATCCAGTGGTTGTCGAGATCCAGCATTGGCTGTTTCTCGTTCACAGTAAATTTAAGTCGGTTGAGTTTTGTTGGGTTCCCAGCCATATTGGTGTCTTTAAATGAGCGTGCGGATGCTGCTGCCAAGGAAGCTGTCCGCTCTTGTCCCATCTCTCGTAAGGACATTCCGTATTCCGACTTTTACCCGGTTATCCATTCCTCAGTCCTTACCCGTTGGCAGGCTTCTTGGTTGTCTGTTACTGGTAACAAGCTACGTACTCTTAAATGTTGTGTTTCCTCTTGGCCGTCCTCCTTCCACCGTAACCGGCGGTGGGAAACAGCTCTGGCGAGGTTGCGTATTGGCCATACTCGCTTAAACCATGGTCACTTGATGGAGCGCCGCCCTGCTCCTTATTGTCCTAGTTGCATTGTCCCTCTTACGGTCGTGCATGTCCTTCTTGCTTTCCGACCGCCCCTCGCGGTCACCTGTCCCTCGATAGAATTCTTGGTGACTCGGATACTTTTGATATCGTTCGCCTTATGCGTTTTTGTTCTCGTATTGGCATCCATGGTGATATTTAGCGCCCTCTGATTATTTTGCGTATTTGATGGTGCTACATAGCCTTCCCGGTTTGGTGCCTTCTTTTGATAATTACTTACTTACTTACCTCAGGTTGTGTCTCGCGGGAAGGTCCAGTACCATAGCAGCCGGGAATACCAGCTGACCAGCGGGGAGTTACCCATCAGCGTGGAGCATCTTGTGGAGCCTCTGCCCCCTCCTCTTCCCAACACCACCAGGGGAGTCATCAACATTAATGTCAACCTTCCACCAACTGCATCTCCCAAGGTCATGGTTCGTATCTTTCACATTCCTTACTTTGATACCACTACCCGTAAGACTTGTCTAGAGAAGACAATTTACAAGAAAAAATTAATTTAAGTGTTAATAATAACGAACATAGTTTTACCTTTCCTTGTTTCCATATTTTGTAAAAAAAAAAAGTTGGATTTAAATTATAGAGGAAATGCAAAGTCTGTGACAATTAATACAAACAATTTGAAATATTATTAGAGCTCTCTGACAAAAATACATTTACTTTTATTAAAACAGATCTTATTATATGAAAAAATTAATTTGCTATTAAATTATGTAAAATACAGGAGTCACCTTAATAAGACATATGGCGCAAAAAATTTAGTTTTGACCCCTCTATCACATCGGAGAAAAGAATACAAATTTTAATCCACATATGTTCATAAACTTTTTAGAAAATATATGGAATTTCTGGGAAAATAAAGAACAAAATATATACTCATCTTTTGGTGTGGTGGCCCCCATAGGCTGCTATCTAAAAAAAAATTAAGTATGAATCGCATGAAATGTCATTTTTTTTGTGAGCTGAAGTACTGGTTCTGCCGAGCTATGAAACTCACGCCAGGCCTCTGAGATCCACCCTTGTCTTCTTTGAGTCTGAACCAGAATCTGGCGTTCATTGAGGCGAGGGGGAGCTTGAAGATCATTGAGGCGAGGGGGAGCTTGAAGATCATTGAGGCGAGGGGGAGCTTGAAGATCATTGAGGCGAGGGGGAGCTTGAAGATCATTGAGGCGAGGGGGAGCTTGAAGATCATTGAGGCGAGGGGGAGCTTGAAGATCATTGAGGCGAGGGGGAGCTTGAAGATCATTGAGGCGAGGGGGAGCTTGAAGGTCATTGAGGCGAGGGGGAGCTTGAAGATCATTGAGGCGAGGGGGAGCTTGAAGATCATTGAGGCGAGGGGGAGCTTGAAGTCATTGAGGCGAGGGGGAGCTTGAAGATCATTGAGGCGAGGGGGAGCTTGAAGTCATTGAGGCGAGGGGGAGCTTGAAGATCATTGAGGCGAGGGGGAGCTTGAAGTCATTGAGGCGAGGGGGAGCTTGAAGTCATTGAGGCGAGGGGGAGCTTGAAGATCATTGAGGCGAGGGGGAGCTTGAAGTCATTGAGGCGAGGGGGAGCTTGAAGATCATTGAGGCGAGGGGGAGCTTGAAGTCATTGAGGCGAGGGGGAGCTTGAAGATCATTGAGGCGAGGGGGAGCTTGAAGTCATTGAGGCGAGGGGGAGCTTGAAGTCATTGAGGCGAGGGGGAGCTTGAAGATCAGAGATCAAATCAGAACCAAAGAAAAATCGGCACGGCAAAATAAGCGACTACATAGAAGAAATTAGGAGACCTAAGGTATATAAGGAAAAGGATTGCTGAAGTGCAGCCCCCTTCCTCCTAAGGTTCCCAACGTCAAGAAATTGTCGTACTAAAGTGACTTCTTCTAACCTATCAGAGGACCGAAAGCTGAAAATGAAACAATATGTCAATTTCGACTCATGAACCCTTAGCTAATAAGTCTATGGACTGCTATCATCCGTGCGCAAAATCTCTAGACCTTAATGCGATTGAATGATTGATAAAGATTAAGCCACCCAAGAATAGCACGCACAGCATGGGCATGAATAATCAATAAGTGGAGGCGCTTTAGAGCCATTACCAGTACCAATAGCTGGTACTGGAGATGTGTGGATGGATGGGGTCTTCATGGTCGCTCGCAGTTTATGGCCTGCTGGAGGCTTGGGCGCCAGGTTGCAGTTAAATGTGCAAAGCGAAGCTTTATACCTGCACAAAACAACTTCGGTATTTGAATACCATCAGGTTCGTCGTCCTTTTCGAGGAATCCCATTTGTCCATCTGGGAATTTTCGGTGGAATTCTGGGTGGAGGTAATCTTTCTTCTGTAAGATGAGGTCAATGTAAGAGTTCATGTAGTTGGCGTGGACATACAAGGGCACGGGGAAAGACCTGGGCCTTTCCTCGTGCTGATTATCGCGTTACATTTGTGGGCCAGTTGTCGTCTGGTGTTTACGTAGCCACTGAACTCGATGGGCGGAATGAAGAGAACAAAGGAGGAACTTTTGTTTTCGTCCTGGTTATCGTCGTCGTCGGTCGCAAGGCCATTCTCGTCGACGTCGGTGGTGGCTCTGGAGAGCCTCCTTTTGTCGGTTATAGGAGTTTCGGATGATCCATCGTCGTCTTCAGGTGTGATGTCTTTGTTGGCAGGGCAGCCAGGGTGGGTGGCGTCCATCTTACCTGACTGGTTGTGGGCCTGTTGCGGGGGTCGGACGCCAAACCAGCAGCAGCTGAGAGAATGTCGCTGGGTACCATCACCATCTGCAGTCCATTTGCGGTGAGCAACTGGTTGATGGTGTGGATGCTTGACATTGTTGCCCGCCTTCAAAGCGGAGGAAGAGCCCTAAAAGGGATCATTGAGAGGAATGTTACCCCTACTGGCGTCAACCAAATGATGAAACTAGCAATATATTATATGAGTAAGAAAACCACCAACCTGCTAATGAGGAATTCTCCCGACACCAACAAAAACGCCTTGAAAGAGACCAACGTTGTCTACTCTTTCACATGCCCACTTAGGGATTGTTAGCCCCAACGAACTCAGTATATAGGGAAGACAACAACGTCCCTCTCTAGGCGATTAACAATGCACAAACATCAGGGCTCCATCAAGGAACATATAATCACCACATACAACGAGACGATCACCAGGGATATTTTGACGAGCAACACCGAAATAATTAATAGATACACTGACAACAGAAGATTAGACAACAATGAAGCGCTGCATATCAAGAAATCTAGACTAGCAATCAATAACCAGCTAATAAACAATTACACTGAACAAATCCACAAGGGCCGTGATGGGGGTTCGAACCTACGTCCGAGAGGATCCCAGACGCCCCTTAATCGACTGTGCCACATGGTAAAAGAAATGCAACCGGGAGTGCAACTGCCCTCATACGGATCCTACAGTCTCTCCGACTGTAGGATCACAAACCAGGGTTTTACACAATTCCTCCCATGCACCCGAGCTCTGTCAACAAGCTGTTCCACCTCTTGCCTTGCAGATACTTATTGTATCTGTGCTTGGGGGTTCAACCTCTGCAAACTACCTCAAGTCCATCATCACCCAGCAAAAATCTGTTATCAGGACAATAACAAACTCTGCTTTCAGACAACACACAGCTCAACTGTTTAAATCCCTAAACATGCTAAACATAAATTATGTTTAGCATGTTTATCATTCATACATTCTCATACATTCTCGTCATACATTCTCTTGTGTCAATTACATTTATAAACCCCTTTTCTTAAGTGCAAACCCTGTTCTGAAACTCTTCCTGGACAGATGTAATAGAACACATACTCACCACACCAGACATAAATATCTTTGATATCCCCAGAGTCAAACTTAATCTGTGTAAACACACTATGCAAATAAAGTACCTAGTCTATGGAACTCACTCCCTAATGAATTGAAAAGCTGTCCAACTTTTGCCTTATTCAAAAATAAAACCAAAAAGTACCTAATTTCATCTTCATAGATTTCTATCTAGGGCTTTATCTCACACTGTATCTAATGCTACCCAATCCCCCAATATTTGTACCTAAGCCATATTACTTTACCATTTTAATCTAAGATATCATCTGATATCATAGTTGTTGTATTGAGTACATATTCTACTGCATTATTCCTTGAAATGATCCTCATATTGTACTTCAGTGAACCAATGTATAACCCTGAGATGTTATCCTAATGTACTAGTAATCCTTGTTCATTAATGTGTCTTGTTATTATTGTGTACTAGCAGTACCCGGCCACGCGTTGCTGTGGCTCAGAAACACATGTGCGTTGCTGAGCCACAGCAACCTTCCCTGTCCCACAGTCCTCCCCACCATTATCTCCGTCACCCGTCTCCTCGGCCTCCCAACCATTCCCCACTCCACCGTCCCCTCGTCCTCCCTACCACTTCCATCTCCCCACCATCTGCACCACCTCTGCACCACCACCTTCACCACTATCTGCACCACCATCTTCACCACCATCTTCACCACCATCTTCACCACCACCTTCACCACCACCTTCACCACCACCTTCACCACCACCTTCACCACCACCTTCACAGCCCTACTTCCAGTATTCCTAAATGTTAAAACCATTTCCCTTCCCCCTATCATTGATGGCTCTTAAATCTTCTGGACAGAGCTCTCCTCCTCGCACTATATTACTGTTCCACAACTATATATCCTTATATTTATATCCTTATATATTATATCCTTAATATAATATATCCTTATATATATCTATATAAATAATAATGGAAATGTTCGTTTGTTCAAAATCGCTAATCTCCGAAAGTTCTTTCACCGAAATCTTTGAAATTTTCACACAACGTTCCATTCTCATCCGAGCACGTTTTTGTATACATGCTATATAGATGTCACGTCTGTGACGGGAAAAAACATGCTTTTTTGGGAAAACTGTGTTTTTCATTTGAGGGGAAATCTTCGAAACCTCTTTACTGACTGCTTTGAATTTTTGACACAACGTTGCAGTCGAATAGGCGAGTGTTTTTATATATCTACTATATACATGCCTCACATTTGACAGGAAAAAATATGTTTTTTTTTTTTAAACGGCGCCATCTGTTGAATGTAAGAGCAACACGCAACACACACTGTAATCTCCAAAAGATCTTCACTGATTGCTTTGAAATTTTGACACAACGATCCATTCGAATACACGTGTGTTTTTATACACCTGCTATATAGATGCCACACCTGTGACCGGTAAAAACATGTTGTTTTTAAACAGCGCCATCTGTTGCACGTAGGAGAAATATTCACAATACTAAATATGTTACAATTCCATTTCAATGTTTCCGATTGCATTGATAATTTTATTTTATATAGATTTCGATTTATTTTATTTTTTATTGAATTATTTTGTGTGACATTGTGTTGGAATTCAGCTGTGTTGTTCACCATACCGTTCATTTTGTAAGTATAAGTATAGATGCCACACCTGTGACAGGTAAAACTATGCTCTTCTTGAAAAGCAGCGCCATCTGTTGCATGTAAGAGCAACACACATGCTATACTAAATATGCTTCAATTCCATTTCAATGTTTCTGATTGCACTGATAAATTGAATTTTCATAGGTTTTAATTTATTTTCTTTTTTATTTAATTATTTTGTTTGAATTGTGTTGGAATTGAGCTGTGTTGTTTACCATACCGTTCATTTCGTGAGTATAGTTTATTTTAGGTTGCTAGCCACTCCACCATCCCCTCTTCCTTCCCACCGTGCCCCATACCCCAGTCCCTTTGTCCTCCCCACCATTCTCCTTTCCCCCCATCCCCTCGTCCCCACCATCCCAAACTCCCCCGTCCCCTCATCCTTCCCCACCATTACCCCCTCCCTTGTCCCCTCGTCCTCCCCACGATCTCTGACTTCTGTCCCCTCATCATCCCCACCATTCCCCACTCCCTCGTCCGATGCCTTCCAAAATGGTCTGATGTTCCCATCAGAGAATTGGGAACATCAAGTTATCTGAGGTTCCTATCACTGAAATATAAGAAAAACTGTTAAAAAATTAAATGAAAATATGAAAAAATATAAAAATAAACTATTCTCACGAAATGAACTGTATGGTAAACAACACAGCTCAATTCCAATGCAATTCACACAAAATAATTAAATCAAAATCTATGAAAATTCAATTTATCACTGCAATCAGAAACATTGAAATGTAATTAAAGATATTTAGTATAGCATGTGCTCTTACATGCAACAGATGGCGCTGTTTTTCAAGAAAAACATAGTTTTACCTGTCACAGGTGTGGTATCTATACTTATATTTACGAAATGAACGGTATGGTAAACAACACAGCTCAATTCCAAATCAATATCACTCAAAATAATTAAATAAAAAATATAATAAATCGAAATCTATGAAAATAAAATTTATCAATGCAGTTGGAAACATTGACGTGGAATTCGTGACATATTCAGTATAGCGTGCATGTTGCTCTTATGTGCAACAGATGGCGCTGTTTTAAAAAAAACGCATGTTTTTACCTGTCACAGGTGAGGCATGTATATAGTAGATATATAAAAAGACGTGCTTATTCGAATGGAACGTTGTGTCAAAATTTCAAAGCAGTCGGTAAAGAGGTTTCGAAGATTTTTCTCACATGAAAAACACATGAAAAACACCGTTTTTCAGAAAAAAGCATGTTTTTTTACCATCACAGACGTAACATCTATATAGTATGTATTCAGAAATCTGGCCGGATGCAAATGATACGTTGTTTGAAAATTTCAAAGCAATCGGTGATGAATTTTCGGAGATTAGCGATTTTGAACAAACGAACATCTTCATTTTGATTTATATAGATTATTCTAATCAGCGTTTGTGTCAAAATTTCTTGCAATGTACCTGTAAACATTTTTTGTCAATTTTACGGTGAAATATCTAAAAAAATTCTATTAGTTTAAGGACTTTGCCCGATTTGCTATGCGTGCTAGTGGCTTTACAAGAATGTACAATCAACTTAATTTCTATGTTCTCTGCTAACCCCCCAATGTACCTTCTTGTATATATAAATAAGTAAATAAATAAATAAATAAATAAATAAAACTTGGAACTGAGGATTCAATCAAGAGAAACCGTAAATAAAGAACAAACGTCAAAATTGATTAACTTGACATTAGGAAAGTTAATAAGTTTTGACGTTTGTTCTTTATGTATATATCTTTCCCCCCCCCCCCCCCCCCCCCCCCCCCCCCCCGACCTGTAATATTTATCCTTTTGAAGATGAATTATTAACTACGAAAGTACTAGAGGAATGATCATGAAACTGTGATCTATGTGTACTGAAAAAAAAAACATCGAAAATGCCCAGTCCAATGGTTCAGTTTGTGCTGCTTCATTCAAGCTTCCCCGATGGCTTCTCCATATCCTGTCGCCTGTAGTAGGCTCACACATAGCAATATAGACTTAGTTATTGAGCCTTCCACATTAATGATGATATTAAACTCGGGAGTTTTGATGTGACAGCCTTGGTCACTAAGATTCCGGTTGATGATGTGTGAGCTTCCTTGTGAGTTGAATTTCCCAAATATAATTTAAACCTACTTTTAAGTACCGTTGTTGAACTTAATCAGTTGGACATAAATGACAATTATTTAAGTTTCAATTTAATTTTTGTAAACTAACATTTGGCATGGCGATGAATAATCCTCTTTTCCCGGTTCCGAGTAACTTGTACACGGAATTTTTTAAAACAAAAATCCTACCTCGAGTTGTAGCCTCTAACACGGTGTGGTCTTGGAACCTCGACGATATTGTGTCTTTGGACAGCTAACCATGACCATATAAATTTCCTCAATGAACTTAATTCTCTGGTCCCTTCAGTTAAATTCACAAGTGAGAATGAAGAGAATAGTGTTCTTCCCTTCCCAGACATTATAATTCATAAAGCCAATAGGATTTTCAAATTCAATGTGAATCGAATACCTACGAAAGGGGGTGATGCTAGGCAATGGAAGGTCGAACCTTGGTTGGGTCTGTTAGAGCATTCCAGTTGCTAGCTACGCGTATAAGGTACGAATATTTCCTTACGTCCCGTCGGCTCAATAACGAAGCTTTAGTTTTCATCTGTGTCCTCATGCCCTGCCTTATCTCAATCTGAAGAGGCCATCTTTGTCCATCTTATCTCTTACCCTCAGAACGTTATATGTCGTGATCATATCCCCTCTGTTCCTTCTATCATTTAGAATTGTGAGATTTGGTACCATTAGCCAATCTTCGTAGCATTAGCCCTCTTAGCTTTGGCACCAATCTTGTTACAAGCCTTCGTACTTTTTAAATTTTGGCTTTGTGCTTCACAAGGTGAGAGTTCTATGCCAGTGATGCATATTCCTGTATTGGTCTAAAAATATTTGTGCAGATGGTATTGAATTAGTCGCGATTCAAGTTTCTAAACGATGTTCTTATATTTAGCAGCGTCCCATGTAATGCCGATGTTAACATGTTTAAATGTGCCTCCGATGATAGTGTCTGAATTATATCCACTCCCAGATCCTACTCATTTTTTGATTCCTGTAACTGACTTCTCTTTATGGTTTAGATGCCTTCTGCTCTCCTCTCTACCTTTCTCACCTTCATTAACTAATACTTGTTGGGATTAAATTTTGGCAACCATTTGGTTGACCACTCCTAAAGTTTGTCAAGGCCCTCTTGTAATTTCCTGCAGTCCTCATCTCTCTTCACGTTCCTCATCAAATTTGTATCATCTGCAAACATTGACATATCTAATCTCACTTCCACGTGGAGTGGTCTCAACAATGGCTGGAGTGTAAGGGGGGGGGGGGGAAGAAGGTCCACCCCTCACAGTACCTACCTCACCTTCTCTCACTGGTTACTTACTCTCCTTCTACAATATTTTTAACACAAGCACTATTGAAGAGATAGTCCACTGGGACTATAGGTGGGCGCGAACCTACGACCCCAGTATTGAGAGTCGCATACTCTACCACTAATATGGTGGTCATATATATATACAACTATAGTCCCAGTGGATTTTATCACTGATATATACCAAGCTAATGAGATTTCTGATTCGGAAACACTATTACTGATTTGATTCTTTAACTTTTAGGTTTCGGTTAGTTCCGGGATATTCATTCACCATTATAGACTTTTCACTGCGGAAATGTCTGTTTATAGCTCCCAAATCACAAGAAAAAGCTAGAACTCTGCCGCCCTCAACCTCCTTACACTGGTTATATATGTGTGTGATACACTCGTGAGACACAAGTGTACTCAGTAATAATGTGTTGCAGGTGTTGGTGTGGTACACCCGTGAGGACGGAGAGGTTGTGGCTGACATGAAGGAGCTGCAGGTGGACAAGTGCCTCGGTACACCAGTAAACCTCACCTGGTCCGCCTCTCGGGTACACCCCGGGCAACACGCCTCTCTCTCGCTCTCGTCTGAGCCAGACTCCGTGTGTAGCCTGGGTAAGTAAACCTCGCCAGACTCCTTGTGTAGCCTGGGTAAGTAAACCTCGCCAGACTCCATGTGTAGCCTGGGTAAGTAAACCTTGCCAGTGCTGACTATATTATGGAAACTTGGAATGCATTCAATTCTGATTATAATATGGTCAGGTATTCGTGTACAAGCCCAACTACTTGCACTAAAGTTGAATTATTTCCTAAACTCAGGTGTGGTAGACAGAAGCTCCGAGTTGCTGGCTGTAAATCCCGACCCCATCTCCCTGGATGCTGTGTTCGACTTAGCTGGCGGTTATGAGGTTGGACAATATCAGAACTCTCCGATCAATGACTTCGAATATTGTAGAAAAAAGAAAAAACAAACTTCAATACAAACAAGTGAGTAGAACTGTGTACTTTTTTAGTGTTTTTACTGCTCTATATCCCCCCCCCATCTCTTCCTCTCGCTCTCTTTTTCTGTCTGTTAGTCTCTCTCTCTCTCTCTCTCTCTCTCTCTCTCTCTCTCTCTCTCTCTCTCTCTCTCTCTCTCTCTCTCTCTCTCTCTCTCTCTCTCTCTCTCTCTCTCTCTCTTCTCTCTCTCTCTCTCTTCTCTTCTCTCTCTCTTCTCTCTCTCTCTCTCTCTCTCTCTCTCTCTCTCTCTCTCTCTCTCTCTCTCTCTCTCTCTCTCTCTCTCCTACTCATCTTTTATCCTACCTCAGCTCATCTGAAGCCTGCTCCTAGAAACTCACTTATTTCGTGGGAATGTACTTTGAAACTATCCCATAGGAAAATATCATAAATGAACTATCATATAAGACACTCTCATAAATGCACTATCATATAAGAAACCTAGTGAAACTACAAGCAAGAGCTGTAATCCTTCCTCAGCTCAGTTGAAACCTACTTCTAGTGGTCCATATATTTCTTGAGCCTGTTATATGCATCTGTAGAAATAGCCTTTATTCATTAACAACATTAGGTAACAATCATATTGAACAGGATGAGCCTGTAGCTAACTATGTGCCAGAGCCTTCATGTGATCAGTTGACCTGTTATCCCATGTATCAACCTGTTGAGCGAACAAGTTCCAGATGTGAGTCAGCCTAGGAGTGAATGAACGCTCATGGAGTGATGTTCTTGAGAAAGGCACTTCCAGCATGAGACTTAAAGGTTAAGACCCAGTTGCTACTGGTGGCCACTACTGGTAGTTCACGGAGTTGGACCAGGTTTGGAACTTTGAGGATGTTGGCCTTGTACACAACAGTAAGACCACCAACGTCACGACGATGATGCAGGCTCTGATGTTCAGACAGTTTCCACCAGACTTTATCTAGATTAGAAATGAGCCTTCTTGCACTGCTCTCCACTTTGTCCAAAAAGTCTGATGAATGATGGGGGGCAGGCGATCCAGGAGAGGGGTGCATACTCTAGAAGAACGAACTTGGGTTCGTATAAGATTTTGCAGTCCTCAATATATATATATATATATATATATATATATATATATATATATATATATATATATATATATATATATATATATATATATATATATATATATATTATTAAATATGACCGAAAAAGAAAGATTAATAATTCTAACACGAATTTTCTCTATCTTTCTTATGTTTCTTTTCACTGTTGATGGTAATTCAAAGATCAATTCTCCAAAATTCATTTTTATTTGTAGTCTGATGCGACACTTGAGCGCGTTTCGTAAAACTTATTACATTTTCAAAGACTTTAGTTTACAAACACACAACTGAAATTGAATAGAGCTTTGCACATCTTCGAGTTTATATCTACATTTGGGTGAGGTGGATGAGGTGAAAACGAACTTTCAACAATGGGTATTAAATGGGTATTAAATTCTTAACACAAGACAGAACACGAAACAATGGGTATTGAATGGAAGTAATTGTAGAAAGCCTATTGGTCCATATTCCTTGATGCTTCTATATTGGAGCGGAGTCTTGAAGTGGGTAGAATATAGTTGTGCATTAATTGGCTGTTGATTGCTGGTGTTGACTTCTTGATGTGTAGTGCCTCGCAAACGTCTAGCCGCCTGCTATCGCTGTATCTATCGATGATTTCTGTGTTGTTTGCTAAGATTTCTCTGGTGATGGTTTGGTTGTAGGAAGAGGTTATATGTTCCTTAATGGAGCCCTGTTGCTTATGCATCGTTAAACGCCTGGAAAGAGATGTTGTTGTCTTGCCTACATACTGGGTTTTTTGAGGCTTACAGTTCCCAAGAGGGCATTTGAAGGCATAGACGACGTTGGTCTCTTTTAAAGCGTTCTGCTTTGTGTCTGGAGAGTTTCTCATGAGTAGGCTGGTCGTTTTTCTGGTTTTATAGTAAATCGTCAGTTGTATCTTCTGATTTTTGTCTGTAGGGATAACGTTTCTACTGACAATATCTTTCAGGACCCTTTCCTCCGTTTTATGGGCTGTGGAAAAGAAGTTCCTGTAAAATAGTCTAATAGGGAGTATAGGTGTTGTGTTAGTTGTTTCTTCAGAGGTTGCATGGCGTTTCACTTTCCTTCTTATGATGTCTTCGACGAAACCATTGGAGAAGCCGTTGTTGACTAGGACCTACGTCGTCGACTTGCTTCCATTCTGAGCTGTGGCTGAGAGCTCGGTCGACATAAGCGTTAACAACACTCCTCTTGTACCTGTCCGGGCAGTTACTGTTGGCATTCAGGCACATTCCTATGTTTGTTTCCTTAGTGTAGACTGCAGTGTGGAAAACTCCGCTCCTTTCCATGACTGTTACATCTAGAAAGGGCAGCTTCCCATCCTTCTCCATCTCGTAAGTGAAACGCAACACAGAATTCTGCTCAAATGCCTCCTTCAGCTCCTGCAGGTGTCTGACATCAGGTACCTGTGTAAAAATGTCGTCAACATACCTGCAGTATATGGCCGGTTTCAAGTTCATGTCGACTAGGACTTTTTGCTCGATGGTACCCATGTAGAAGTTTGCAAACAGGACACCTAGGGGAGAACCCATGGCGACCCCATCTACTTGCTTATACATGTGTCCATCCGGGCTCAAGAAGGGTGCCTCTTTAGTACAAGCTTGGAGTAGTTTCCTTAGACTGTTTTCTGGTATGTCAAGAGGAGTACAGGCCGGATTACGGTACGACAGAGTGTACCGTAATCCGGCCTGTACTTAGTGTCATTAATGTGCATTTACAAAGGTGAAATGTAATTCTGATCAGCTTCCATATATACTTTATACACATACATATACATACACACTTACACATATGCATAAATATATATATATATATATATATACATACATATATACACACACATGCATTCACATACATTTGTCTCTTTTACTCTTACAGGGTGAGATAGCTGATAGAGAGACTAGTGTGCAATTAAGCACTTAATCACTGAAGGAGATTAAGGTGCTTTTACCAGCTCAGGTTATATAGTTACATCACATACATTGTATTACTGATACATTACATGGTTAATCTTGGGTCCAAGTCCAATATATCAAGTGTTCCAGTACTCATATAGTAATTACACAGTTCAGCATACCTCAGCCCAGGAGGGCGAAAGTCAGTCAGTATGGGACATTCTACAATATAATGTTCAAGAGAGTGTATGTTTTCTCTTTCACAAAGTTGACACATTGTGTACTCGACATTTGGGTTTTGAGGAAGCTGCCAGATACGTCTATATCCCAGGCGTATTCTGGCCACTATAACATCACATTGCCGGGTTCTTGTTCTATTAGTCCCATAGTGGTGATAGCCGAATGAAATTCGATGAAATAACTGGTGATTTTGATGATGCGGATTTGATGAAATAACTTTGCCCAAGATTACCATCAAAGTGCCGTCGGGGAGGTGGTTCAAATAACCTCGGCTATCACCTCCTTTGTTGGACCTGTCATCTCCAATTCGGTGCCCCCTGATATCACACGAGACAAGCCCATGACATCATCTTAACAAGAGAAATGTTAAATAAAAACACTTGTATAATAGGCAAAACCCAACATGTAAGAAGACTACAAATTTTAGAAGTAATCCACATCAAAATAGAACAACCTACCATGAATACCCAAATTATGGAACTATTTACTCAACCCGCCATGAGAGTAAGGACAAGACCAGATCATATAAAATTGTTATATATAAAGTTGTGAGGGTACTACCTCTGGTGCAAATGAGGGGCCCATAGCCTCGGAGAAGAAAATAAGGAGTACTCAGAGAAGAGCTTGTGTATTCTCACTGAACACTTCAATATTTTCTTCTCCTAACACACACACACACACACACACACACACACACACAGACACACACACACACACACATACATATATATATATATATATATATATATATATATATATATATATATATATATATATATATATATATATATATATATATATATATATAATTTATTTATTTATTTATTTATTTTTACTTATAAATTAATGTGTAATTTAAATGTCTTTACAGCGCCTTTACCAGCACATTATCGCACCTGGTACTTCACCGACTTCGTGGATGCCCTGAAGATGTTTGCTGTAAGTTCATTTGTATTGTTTATTCTGAATATTGTGAGTGTTACTGCTTGACACAATGTTTAGGTGTGAATATCCATTACATTGTGTGAGTGTGTATTTACTTTTATATATTTAATATTTATTTTTATTTGTTTCGAGAATCGAGCTATTAGCTCTTGGACTCCGGCATTATAACCAATTTAATTGTCCTCCATTATGTCTACTACATATATTAATCTTACACACACACACACACACACACACACATCCCCAGGATGTGCTATAATGTCTAACAGCTGCTACAGCCCGTAGCAGCTGTCTAACTCCCAGGTATTTATTTACTGCTAGGTGATCAGGAGCATCAGGGTGAAAGAAACTCTGCCCATTTGTTTCTGCCTCCGCCTGGGATCAAACCTGGATCCTTAGGACCACAACCCCAGAGCACTGTCCACTCAGCCGCGAAGCACCCTGTACTCACCTAGTTCTGCTTGTGGGGGCTGAGCTTCGGCTCTTTGGTCCCGTCTCTCAACTGTCGATGAACTCTTGTACAGGTTGCTGAGTCTACTGGGCTCTATCATATCAACATTTGAAACTGTGTATGGAATCTGCCTCCACCACATCACTTCCTAATGCACTTCATTTATTAACTACTCTGACACTAAAATAACTCTTTCTAATTTCTGTATGGCTCATTTGGGCACTCGGATTGCACCTGTGTCCCCTAGTGAGTGTGTCCCTTGTGTTAAATAAACTGTCTTTGTCTACCCTATCAATAATTCCTTTGAGAATCTTGTATGTGGTGATCATGTCCCCCCAAACTCTTCTGTCTTCCAGCTACGTGAGGTTTAATTCCTGTAGTCTCTCCTCATAGCTCATACCTCTCATCTCGGGTACTAGTCTGTTGGCACACCTCTGAACCTTATCCAATTTAATCTTGTGTTTGACGAGATACGGACTGCATGCTCCAGAATTAGTCTGACATATGTGGTATACACATGTGTCAGACCAATTGTGTGTGTGTGTGTGTGTGATTACACAAGTGTAGTTACTGGATGAGAGCTACGCTCGTGGTGTCCCCTCTTCCCAGCACTCTGTGTCGTATAACAATATGAAACTAGTAACGGTTTTGGCCTCGACTACCTTCTCACTTGGCTTGTTCCAACCGTCTACCACTCTGTTTGCAAAAGAACACTTTAATATTTTTCAAGCACCTTTGTTTCCTTAGCTTGAATCTGTAGCCTTTTGTTCGTGACGTTGCTGTATCAGGAATTCCTCTGTGCCAGTTTGCTCGATTCCTGTTAGTATTTTGTAAGTGGTGACATATCACTTTTCTTCTATCTTCTAGTTTTGACATGTTTAACGCCTCGTAGCTCATGCTTGTCAGTTCCGAAAGCCATTTTTGTAGCATGTCGTCGCACCTTTTCCAGTATATTGATGTTCTTAAGATTTGGGCACCACACAACTGCTGCATATTTCAATTTTGGTCTCACCAAAGTCATTAACAGTTTATTTAGTATTTTACCATCCATATAATTAAAAGCAATTCTGAAGTTGGAAAGCGATGCATACGCTCCTCTCACAATGTTCTTTATGTGTTCCTCTGGCGACAGCTTAGTATCCAAACTCCCCCCCCCCCCTAGGTCTCGTTCTTTATTAAAGTTCTGTAATTCCTTTCGACATAATTTGTAAGTTGTGTGGTCTGTTTTCTCCGATTCCACATTCCATAACATGGCATTTATTCACATTGAATTTAAATTGCCACTTAACGCTCCAAGCACTTATTTTATCTAGATTAATTTGAAGGTCATAACAATGGTCTGAGTTTTCTATCTTCCCCAGTATCTTAGCATCCTCAGATGAGCTCATGTACTTCTGTATTCCTTCTTGTAGTGTTTATGTAGACAATGAACATTACTGGTACAAGAACTGGACCTTGTGGTACTCCGCTAGTAACATTCCTCCAGTCAGATACATTGTTTGTAGTTACTGTCTTCATTTGTCTGTCAGTAAGAAATTTTTTCATCCATGTCAGACGTCTTTCTGTCATCCTTCCAGCATGGTCCAGTTTCCAGCACAGCCTCTTGTGTGTGACTCTGTCAAAAGCCTTTTTTAGGTCAAAATAGGCTGTCAACCCAGCCACCTCTTTCCTGTAGCATCTCTGTGGCTCTATCATAAAAGCTAAGATTTGTTACACAGGATCTTCCTGTTCGAAAACTATACTGTCTGTCCGTTATTATGTCATTATTCACTAGGTGTTCAACCCATTTGGCTTTAAAAAAAAAAATTCTAGTGTTATGACTACCACGCTTGTTAATGATATGGGTCTATAATTTAGAGATTCTTCTCGGCAACCATTTTATAGAATTGAACTATGTTTGACTTCATCTCAATATCTGCTAAGATTCCTGTGCACAAGGATGTCTGGAATATTAATTAGAGCGGAATGCTCAGCTAAGTTGCACATTCTCGCAGCACCCAAGGTGAAACTCCATCAGGTCCAACCGCTATATTTCTTCCTAGCCCCTTGAGTAATTTTTCCACTTCGTCTTGAGACACCTCTATGTATTCTATGGCGTGCTCTGGAATTGGCATTGGGTCCGGCTCTCTGAAATCCTCATTTTGTACAGACAGTTTGGAACTGTTCATTTAGCATGTCACACTTTTCTTTTTCATTCTCAATAGTCCTGTTCTCCGTTCCTAAACTCTGGATTTTATCCTTTTCCTGCAGCTTGCTTTTAATGAGTTTATAGAAGAGGCCTGGATCTTCTTTTACATTTGTTCGCTATACCTTTCTCAAAGTTCCTTTCTGCTTCTCTCCTCACGACTGTGTATTTGTATCTTGCTTGCTTGTAGTTCTGGTTTGTTTGTGGGTTGAACCTCTTCATATATTGAACCCATTTTCTTGTGTTTTCCTCTCTGGCCCCTCTAAAGATTTCTGTTGAACTAGTTCTGTTTTCTTGTCCTTGATCTCTGTTTTGGTATGAATGTTTGTGTTCCTTCAGCAAACATTTAAAAAAAATGGCATACATCTCATTTACGTCCTTGCCAAGCAACAAGTCTGTCCAATTAAATTCATTAAAGAATTATTCCATACCTCATTTTCATTCATTCATTAATTCCTTGATTTGTTCCTTCTGTTGCTCTACGTTGTCGGTAATACTTTCGAAAATATTCAATAACAAATCTAAACTTTTTAAAAATATTGAGAAAAATCTGCTAGCTTCTGGCAACACCATGGTGTGCTTATCTAATTATTTATCAAGTATATTAACAAAGTAGTATAAGCACCCTCCCCGCATCAGAAATGAATGTGGTGCGTCATATGTCACAGTGGCACTGCGTACTTTTCTTCCAAACCTCGCAATTTTTTAGAAATAAATATTTTTTATGACATTTCAACAATATTGGTAGTTGGCATCACAGCCAGGAGGAGAGATCACCCAGCTAGTTTTGGGGGAAAGAGCTCAGTGTAACTTTGACAGTCGTCAATGGAGGATGTAATACTGTGGGTGCGTGGCGTCCCTGTACGGCGCCGCATTTTCTGTGGTATCGCATTATAATTCATTATATAATACTGTTGTTTTATTCATATTGTTACTAGTTAGCGTATAAGAAAATTAATATTTCTTTATCAAAAGGCGATAATAAAGGAGACAAAGATGTGACATAATAGATATCCAACATGCACAGAGCAGCTCCTCACTCGGGTGCACGCTACCCTCCCTCCGCCGCCTCTCTGCTGCACCACAAATATATTCACGTTTTAGTGAATTTTATGCATCTTAATGCATTTACGATAACTGTTCTTGTATTCCATAAATGTTGGAGAGTGGATTATAAATATTGACGCCTTGTAGGCAAAGAATATCATGCTACAACAATAAATCTATATAAATAAAAATGTAAATGTTCATTTTGTTCAAAATCGCTGATCTCTGATAGTTTTTCACCGATTGCTTTGAAATTTTGACACGACGTTCGATTTGAATATGCGCGTGTTTTTATATACCTACTATATAGATGTCACGTTCTAAGAGAGGTAAAAAACATTGTTTTTTTTAACTGCGGCATCTGTTGGACGTTAAAGACACGCTACACAATGTAATGATTCCACTACAATGTTTCCGATTGCATTGTTAAATTGAATTTTCATAGATTTCGATTTATTTTTATTTTTATTTAATTATTTTGTGTGACATTGCATTGGAATTGAGCTGTGTTGTTTACCATACCGTTCATTTTGTGAGATTAGTTTATTATTTTTTTTTTAATTTTTCATCAGATCATTTGATGTTCCCATTTTTCTGATGGGAACATCAGATCATTTGGGAACGCATCGGATGGGGGAGTGGGGAATGGTGGGGAGGACGAGGGGACAAGGAAGTGAGGGACGATGGGGAGGAAGAGAGGACGGGGGGAGTGGGGAATGGTTGGGAGGACGAGGGGAAGCGGGAGGGGGGAATGAGAAGAGGGGATGGAGGAGAGTTGCTGTGGCATAGCAACGCCTATGCATTACTGAGCCACAGCAACCTGTGGCCAGGTACAGCCGGTATATAAATAAAAATGTAAAATGTTCATTAGTTCAAAATCTCAAATCTCTAAAAGTTTATCACTGATTGCTCTGAAATTTTGACACAACGCTGCATTCGAATACGCGCGAGTTTTTATATACCTACTATATAGATATAGTAGATACCATATAGATACTAATTAGTACTATATGATACTATATTATTATACTACTATATAAATACTATTTACCTGTGACAGGTAAAACATGCTTTTTTTTAAACTGTGTTTTTTCCATGTGAGGGTATGGTGGGGAGGACGAGGGAATGGGGGAGGGGGGAATGGTGGGGAGAACGAGGGGAGGGAAGAATGGGTGGTTGGACGAGGGGACGGGGGAGTGGGAATGACGATGGGAATGGGGAGAGGGGAATGATGGGGAGGACAAGCGGATGGAGGAATGGTGAGGAGTATGAGGAGATGGGGGGTGGGAAACGTTGGGAGGACGAAGGGAT